GCATGTGTGTCTCTTGTTGTTTGTGTAACTGTAGAAAGAATGTAGGTTGCTTTTATTTTTATTTTTAAACCATTATTAACATCTGATTTGTACTATATTTTGGGAGGTGCGTGATACAACTGTATACTGTAGGATCAAGTGAATTTGAGGATTTGCAACATTAGTAAAGTAGGGCATTGTTAAATCAAATTGCCATACCTTAAAGCTTGTTTTGAGCAGTAATAAGAATGATGTTGTGATGTTAGGCACCCTCTGCAGCATCTCTACAGCGAAAGATAGTGTATTAAGAGTTAAATAGCCAACCACATTATTTTACATGCAAGATCAATCCCAACATGCATTAGATAACAAAATAACCACTGTACAGTGAAAGCTACGCTCGCTTGGAGTGTGCTGGCCCGCCTACATGCCTATGTTACCCTGACAAAGCTCTCGTCTTAGAAGCTGAATATTCTAATTACTGCGCAACAGAACAATGGACCCAGATAAAAGGATGTATTCTTAATAGAAAGCCAGTGGTTAATCAGGCAGGCAGAAAAGGAAGTGTGTGACATGGATACCAAGAGATGAATAATAAAAGCTTCACAGGGCAAACAGTCAATAAAGTCTCAATTAATTGTTCTCAACACAATTAAATTGGCTCCAGACATCGAGGTGTTAAACAAATCAAATTGCTATTATGTTCCATTACAGTAAGCCTTTACAACCTACATTATTAAATATATGAAGTAATGGGCTGTTTCAAGCTCGGCTATGATGATAACGATTGTGGCCTCCTCTGTAGTAAGCTGCCAAAAAGGAAATGGGCACTTATCAATAGGTAACGTAATTAGAATGCAACTGACTGATGCATGCCTCCATATTCTTTCCTGCTCCTTAGTCAATCTTCTACTATCCTCCGCTGACCTAACTATTTAACTCTATTCCCAAGGTGGAGTGGTGGACGAGGTGATATGCACACAGCCAGAGGAAATGAAGAACACAGACCTGCAGAAGGTCCCTTACCAGCTCTTCCACATCTGCATGACCTCAAGCTACCATTACCTGTTTGCTAACATACACCACCTGGAGAATGAGAGGCTACTGCGAGGGCACACCCATGGTAACCATGCTCATCCCTCTAGCCACGCTATCCATGTACCCATGGCAATGGGGGAGGGTTTTGGAGGAGGCGGAGGAGGAGGATCAGGTTTGCCAGAGTGTGAACCTAAGCAAAGGCACCGGCCTGTCAACTTGCGCCATGCAATTGCCACAGTGATCATCACCGGAGTAGTTTGTGGGATTGTGTTTCTGATGATGCTGGCAGCAGCAGTGTACGGCTGCGCCTACGCTGCTATCATGGCCAAATATCAGCGGGAGCTTAAGAAGAACGAGGAGCTGGCAGCAGCGAAGGGGGCAGATCATGCCAAAGCAGATGAGAAGGAACTACTGGAGAATGCTATCGCCTAGGAGATGATATCTCGAACCCTGGACATAAACCTGAGCCTCGACCCTTTAACCTAATCCTCTCTGTGGATGCTGTCTGTGTGTGAGTGTGTGTGTTGGTGCATGTGTGAGAGAAAATAAGAGAGTAAGATTATATTTGTGTGTGTGTGTGTGTGTGTGTGTGTGTGTGTGTGTGTGTGTGTGTGTGTGTGTGTGTGTGTGTGTGTGTGTGTGTGTGTGTGTGTGTGTGTGTGTGTGTCCTTCTTTCTGAGACTTTGGTAGCTAAACTCTACAGGTATGTGACTATGCACTGATGAGAAAAGTATATTCTGATGTATGCGGGTTCAAGTGGGAAGGCCAAAGAATCCAAAAGGAATCAATTCCATTTTGTCTGAGTAATGCATATCACGGATAGGAACTATATATTTATAATTGTATATTGGTAGGTAAAATAGTAAAGCTCTGGTATATGAAAAAAAAAAAAAAGGATTTCAGAATTTGTTGTCTTTTGGTTTGTTGTTCATAACTTTGAGTCTAAATTTGAGGTAATTTTGAAACTCATAGTAGGCAGCTGCTGTCAGTTAGGTTTTGTTCTAAGATGTTTGTATCATTGATGTGAGAGCATGAGAAAGAATGACTGTTTGTGTCAGTGTTTTATTTGTGCTTGAGTTTATGCGCGGAGATGTTTACTGTATGCACATATTTATAGAGAATTTAAGAGTCTGTGCCTAATAACGTGATATAGTTCTGAAGAGGGAATACAGTATGTTTTCCTAAAGGATATTTTTCTGACAACTACAATGAAGATGGGAAATTCGTTGAAGCAATAATGAAACAAACTAAAAAAGAAAACAACAACAAGACTTGGACTCGGCCTTGTTGTTTTTCTATGACTTTACAGGTGTATGAGCTTTGATTATCATCCTGCTTCAAACGGTCACAAACACACATTTTAGATCTACAGCTTTTTTCAGACCAGTTGAGTCTTGTTTTTGATTTAATGCTGATTACATAATGGTAGTCATGTCATTCAGTATGTAATATATAAAATAAAGGGAAACATGTTATTGGGATATTATATTTCTGCTGACAACTAACTTGAGATGGCATGCATCTTTACATTGAAAAAGTATCTTAACAAGAATTTTAATGGTATTTATAAAAAATATATATTCACTTTGGAGGACATTCTACTGTTTAAGTGATTTTTTTCTTTGTTTACTTACTTAAAAAATATTTTAATGTTGTGTCAAATAACCTGACAAGAGAACATGTTTAAACACACAAACAGTTCTATTGAAATATTGTGGTTTATACTTGGTATAGGAGACGCATCTGAAGGCATGGTTGATCATATTTATTGGTACTGTTACCAGGGAATTTCAACGTGTTATACAATGCAACTGCAGGTATATCTGATTGCTCTCTCTTGACTATTTTAATATTTGTAAAATAACACAAAGAAGATAATCAAGCTTACTCAGTGTAGTATGAAGCACATGAATGTGTACAGATGCTTTTCGTCTTAATGCCGACCTGAGTTTTGTGACCGTATAATACGACAGCACACTAACTGCACGTGGCTAAGGATGTGACCACAAAAACTGACATACACACACACAGACACGCTGGAATACACATGCATGTTTTTACGGACACGGTAACATTGCGACTCAAGCGTTGTCTCCAGGGCCCATGGTGTGTGATGTCATCAGCCTGTCCTGTCCAGTTAGTGTATTAGCGTATTCACAAGTCTACAGCTCAGTGGAGCGCAGGGCAGTGAAAACTGGCCCTAACCGGTCCACGATAAATTTGCATTCAAGCCTACATCTCTCCTCCCATCTGACTCTCTTATATAAAATCATCCTTACAGACATCCTCCGATCTGACAAGCATGATCGTAATTACTGTACATCAGCACCCAGTGTGACAAAAGGGTATTCACGAAACCTTCTCAACTAATCGTCATTTGGATTGCTGCTAAACAGGATTTGAAAGAATGATATTATCTTAAAACAATAGTGATCGAGTCAACAGTGTCAAATAATACCGTGGGCTGGTGTAAACTGTGGGATGCTTTTGTACCGCTCTGCTAGAAATCTGATGCATTCTCTATGTGTGTGTGTTTGTGTGTGTGCGCATGGTGGCACTGCACATACTCTCCCATCTCTGTCCTTCTGCTCCAGTGGTTTCCCCCAGGCCAAGAGTACCCACAATGCACTGCTTTCATGTCAACGCATTCAGGCACCGTGAAATAATTTTCTCCTTCTCTGCCCTTTTATTTCCTCTCTTATTTTATCACTTCATTTCCCAAAGATTGTTATCTTTCTGCAGCATTTCTCTCCCCTGTCTATGTATTTTTCTGTGATCCCTAGGCTTTTCTAGCCCTCATCTGTCGACAAGAGAACATACATAGATAGTCATCAGCAGAGGCTTTTCATATGAGCCAAAGGCTGTGCACCATATTTGTCCCACATATGTTGGGCAGTGGAAATGAGTGAAATACTTCACATGCTGCAAACTACTGTATATTTGAATAGAATACTTTCACAGTCAAGATATTTCTTTTGGGTGTTTACAAAAGCTTTTTATGCAACATTTAGTGTGAAAATACTGGACAGGAAAAGACGATGTAGAGGATAAAGATAAAGAGTGTCTGTGGCACCTTAAAGAAGCATAGCTGCCTAAAGATTAGCATTAAGCCAAAACACATGGTGTCAGTATAATTAGCTGACCTTAACATGTCCCTTTGAAAACTAGACGCTGGAATAAAGATTTAAAAGAACAACGTGCTTCCAACTTTCTTTATGTTCATTATTTGCAAACAAAAATACAAGTTACTTCTAACTTGTCATTTAAATCTGTACTTTACAGTACCACAGTCAACGTATTGTGTTTGGTAACGCATAATACAAAAAACGATGACTGGAAGTCCTCATGTGCTTTCAGAGAGAATTGGGTAAGAAGGATGTCATATAACTTTGGTTCCATAACAACTTTGACACCATACATTTATATACATTTTTTCCCCAAATGTTTCATTTCTTCCATTTAATTTGAATTTCCTTCCTCCATAACTGAGTTGATGGCAAACAGAACAAGGCTGCCCTTCATTCCATCAACTTGCTGATTGCAGCAAGTTGCATTATATGTCCGTGACATTGTGGCGCTTCTGAGTCACACAGACGTGAGAGGAGGCAGGCCACAATGAAATCCTCTAGGCCACATTATGCCTTAAATAATCACAGGGGAAAGAACTAATGCACAAAAGGCGTTTAAGAAACTGGTTATTAATATATGTAGGTATAAATACTCTTGGATGCAAACGTCTGTGCCATGTTACACTCTCGCCTCCTTATGACGTTAATGCAGGGGCAAGCGCACGGACAGAAAAAGCAGTACAGTCAGTACATGTGGGCAGTGAGTGTTTCATCTCAAAAAAAGGAAAATAAGTAGGGTTAGTACTGTAGACCAGGAAAACAAAGCCTACATAGCACTGTAAGGAGAGATATCGCAGCGTCTGTCAGTGTAGAAGTGAGTGTGAGAGAGAAAGAGCCACTTGAGTCCCCACTTACCCGCAGCTATGGGTGATTTCCTCTCATCCAGAAGCTGAATGGCGGTGCTGGCCAATACCACACTCTTGTTTTCTGATCCTAAAACACACACACATGAAACAACACACAACACGCACAGGCACACAAGGAGTTCAGATCACATGTCATAATTCCTTATTATGAACTGACCACAGGGTGATTGGAGAGAGAAACCTTAATACCACAGAGTACTATTTCATGGCATCAGCTAACTGCCACAGTCCTACGAGGAAGAGTGCATCCAAGGCAAGTCCGACGAGTAAATAAGAGGCTTTCAGATCACTTGTATTAGCTGGCACTAATGGAAAGCCTGAGGCCGAGGACAGATGAGAACACATTCCCCCTGGAATGGAGGAGAAACCATTTCGTAGAGCCATAGTTGAACTGTACAGGCGCGAGGGGCCTGTGTGTGTTTTTTGTGTGTCTTTTTGTGTGTTCTGGCCAAGTCACTATGGAAAGGGCTGAACCTCCTCCTAACGTATCTTATTTCAACCCACAGCAATCAGTCCTGTCCACAAGAACACAGCCCAGAATTAATAAGGGAGGAAGGGGAGGTAGGGATGCATGGGAAGAAAAATAACCAAATAGGGGTGAACGAGGAAAAGAGGAGATGCAGGAAATGTGGAAAAGGTCATTTCTAGTATTACTAGTATTACTAGTAAGTGAGTATTACACTTTAAATGTGCATTTGACAAAAAGTTACTATTAAATTGGTGCCAGTAATATATAGTGATTATCGGTTTCATTGTATTACATTAGTAATAGTGACTGTGTGGATCTAAACACATTTAAATAAAGTGTATAATGTTTTGAAGGTTCACATTTATAGCCAACCTGAGTTGAAGGGTAGCGAGTAGACAAAGGTCCCAGGAACCTGTTCTGCTGCCCTCTTGTACCACAGGGGAAAGTGATCGGCGTTGAACACCCCCTCTTTGTCTTCAGCTGTCAGGAAGTCCCTTGAAGCAGACGGGGAACAAAGGGGATGAAGATTCAGAGGATGCACACGCACAAAACACAACATATAATCATGGAATATTACACATTAAGGCAATCAACACATGCATTTTTTAACTTCTATGTGAGTAAACTTACTTATAAACTGCTACAACGAGTATACTTACTGGTTTGTGAGCTCGTCGGGCACCACAAACAGGTTGATCCTCGACAGGCCTGTTCTCGAGCCCAGGTAGGCAATCTCTACACCTTTATCTGAGTTCCTGTGTAGTAGGACAAATAAAGTAACCCGATTCAATAAAACAGAACAGAGGCTTTAACAAACCTTAGATTTTGGTTTTTACTAAAAGCTATTTCATGCCATTCTTAACATTTCATTTCTGCAAATGTCTGTAGCATTATGTAGCCCAGTTATTCCCTAGTTTAATCAGGGAAGGGCCCTGAGTTCGTTAACTCAATAAATCTAATTTACAATGAAGAATACATAAGGTAATGTTGCCTTATTTCTCTTAAATTATCCTGTTTATATTTTACCAATATACCCTTTGTGTTATCTTGAGTCCCTTTAAGCACCTTTAAGTACTGTNGTTACCGTATTAAACACATGCGCAATTCCCAATGCTGGTTGTCGACACAGAAGACACGTCGACATGAAATATTCGAATGCTATGACGGAACACAACCGTGTAGAATTATGAGTGCCCTGCTAGGCGCTTCCAAGAGACCATGAGCAGCCAGGATTCGAAGAAATAACGCCATCGGAAAGAAATTGAGCTGGTGGTGTGAGCGAAGACCAGTGGAGAACTGGGGTGCGCTCTCTGGCTGGTGGACGCGTTAGCCTACAGAATGTTAGCTAACGCTCACATCACAACATGTGAAGTAGCATCAGTATATCAGGCTATAACTAAAGTAGCATTGATATATGTAACGTTACTGGCAGGACTGTGATACGATCCATTAACAGAAACTAATGCGCAAGTATCAGCCGTATCTCGCGCTACTAATGCAACTCCACGACTACGGCTGCCTGTGACCGGAGGCGAGACGCGACGATCGGGCTGGTATTGACGATCTGGCGGAAAAGGTGTGAGCCTCCGTTGAATGCTTTTGCTAAATGCTTGATGAAGCTTGGTGTGTAGTCTGGGGAGGGGTGCACAGCTGATTGCCCCAGCAGGTGAGTGGAGGCGGTTGAGCGGGAAGCCAGGAGTGACAAGCCACACACGCACACACAACAACCAGACAGGGGGAAACAAACAAACAAAGGAGACGGCTGAGCCAGTACAGTCTCTATCATCTTACCTAATGCCCAACTCCATCAATTACGTCTGTACTCTTGGTTGCCGTGTATCCTGGAGGGGAAGAGAGAGAGAGAGCAGGGGCTGGCGGAGGAGAGGCTGTATACGGTTCCTGATAAAGCTGTCCGAGGAGTATGCTGCCCTTGGAGGGTGGATGCACAACGCACCCAGAACGAACGCTCGCTCCGTCCTTTTTCCCGTGAGGAACTGGCCACTCGATGTCCTGACAGGCTGCTATTTGTTGCCAACCTGCACTAAACCACAATTACTGCCACATGATTACAAAATGCGTGAAATAACGAATGCTAAACTTACCGAAAAATACCAGCTCACTAAACACAAACTCGCTCAATTCAACGCAACTACGTAACATACCGCTGTCAGAGAGCTCGAGTGTTTACCCTTTTTGTGATTGCTAATATGAGCGTTTGACGTTATGACCTAAAAAAAGCCGATTTTAAGAGCAGAGATCAAAATTCGCCTCCTTTCCCTCTGAATTCCTGCCCTTATGTCTGGTAAAACTTCAGATCCTACATTTCACTTTGTTTATTTGTATTTTCAGCAAGTTTAAAGACCATTAAATGCTAGGGGGAAAAAACCTGCCCAAGATGCTCTTTAGCATTGCCATAGATCGGATCGCGAAAAATCGGTATCAGCCAAATTGTCAAAATCAAGAATGATCGGAATCGAATCGGCGCAGCAAAAAAAGGTGATCGGGACATTCCCTCACGAAAGGTCTCTCTCTTCGCTCGCCCGCCCCACACATTACACACACCCTCCGTCCTCCCGAGATGGCCAGTCAGGGCTGCGCGTTGAGCCGTGGAAGTGTGGTCTTGCCACAAGCGGGTGGCCAGGAGCGGGCTGTCAGCATCCTCTTGGTAGATGGTATTTAAACTCGATGCGCTTCTGAAACTACGGGGCGGCCGAGGACAAAACATACACATGCGTTAACGCGCTTAAAATATTTTAAGATGCGTTATTTTTTCTTTTAAGTTAACGCTGGGTAGTCATATGCGGTGACAGCCCTATGTTTTTATTTCTTAAATAAAAATTTCAGATTGACATTGTAAAACATTTGAATAGATTATAAAGCATTATAGTTTCCGTCAAAAAAAAAACCCTTACTATAGCAGGCCCTCGACGCTAGACGGCTTGCCATTGGCAACCATCAGAAAAATTGTCAACCACTTCCTGGCTTGTTGCCATCATGCACAGTTTTTTAACATAAAGAATAAGACAGCAAACAGCCAAAAATGCTGCACCCCAAATAGATAAGATGTTAAATTATTGTTGTATTAGGAGCTGATATTTATATTCGATTGATGTGACCAGTCGGAACCTGACACTTAAGTTGCACGTGCCGATTGTGTGATTACGGAGCCAGAATCGATGCACGTTTACTCGCGCTGCTTACGGCTGGTTTGCTTTCAACAATGGCGAAGCAATTAAGTGTTTGACTGTGCGGTAAAACGTTCGGCCCAAACCCGCTCAACATCTCAAACGAATGTTCAAAGTCATATCAACTGATAATAGCGCGCAAGGTGAACCCGGAACGAAAGCATAAAGAGAAATGCTTGTAAGTCTTGGAGCGAACACTATATATACATTCTGCTGAATTTGCTGCATTCACTTCGCGTTAAAAGTTCCTTCAAAATAAGAGCTCCGATCGTTTATTACTACCAAAATAAAAGTGCAAACACGATCATTTACCATAGGAACATATGCGCCATAAACTATAATCATTCGTATAAAAAGGTAACACATTATAAGTATAGTTAGACATATAAAGGTATTCACAGTCATTAATAAATGTCATATCTAATTCTTAACGTGAATGTTTTCGATTTATTTAATATTAGAAAATGTATTAGCTCTGCGCCAATTCCAAGACTTCAATGCTGAAGGGCCAGTGGTCTGATGGTGGGGTCAGCACAAAGGTCAAGAAAACCCACATTTGACAAGGAGACAACGGAGACAAGAAACTACTGTCTGTGAAGACATGACAACAGCTGCACGACTGGTGTTTGGTATGCATCATGATGTATGGATAGTTTCCTACCATCTTTACAGTTTCGAATAATGGTTAATTACTATTGTAAAGCATTGACATTCTTTTGTTCACATGTTCATTGATTAAGTTGATGGTGAGGAGACTGTTATATTATCTTAATTATTTAAAATATAAGGTGCAAAAAATGGCAAACGTATTTTCAGTTTGGCAACCAAAAGCTGATGCACTGGTTGCCATACCTGGCAACTAGCTTTAAAAGTAGCGTGAGCCCTGCTTATGTGAAAAACCACCTTGAATGAGGATGTAGACAAAAAGCTTTAGGACCAAACTATAAATATACATAAGTGACCCTGTTATCAAGATTGATGCAAAACAAGTGACATTTTACCTTTTTAGAGAGGGATGGTTTAGAAAAAAACAACCTCTGGGTCATTTGGTGTTATTTGGGTGTATTGCCTTTTTCTGCAGCCGATTGGTCGATGTTGGTATGACACCTTTTTAACCGTTAGAGCAATATAATCAGGAAGTTCCCTTAAGTTCATCTAAACATTACATTGAGGATTGAGAGTGATGCGCACGCAGTTTGCCCAAACCGGAAGCTCCGTCACACTCTATATGAAAAATACGATTATTGCCATAACTATGATGATGGATCATCAGTAATCATTTCAAAGTGAAACAAAGACATTGGATTAACCTTCAGCAGCTTTTTTTATGCTTTTTAATGCCATTGAACACAACTTAGATCAGAAAACAGCAAAGGTAAGACGTATTTGCGAGTCATGATACGTATACCATTGGAATCTGTGGAATCTCAGCTTTCATATGATATCTTGTTTGTGCAGATCCGATGAAGTATAGAATATTTCTACCGTGAGTTATGTGCTAAATGCATTAGCACTATTTCGCTTAGTGCTCATTCAGAGGCTCAGCATTAGACTTGTGTTTTGTTTCGGTAAAAATGGTTCATAGCGTCAGTTAGCTGAGTTTCTTCCCGCTAAGTGGGTATGACACATTCATAGTTTGATAAATGTTAAGAAGCCCTCAGCTGTTTCTTGCAAGATGTTGCTTAACAGGTTAAAGGTCACCTATTATGCAAAATCCACTTGTTCATGTCTTTTCTACATCAACATGTGTCCCCTCTGTGTAAAGAGATTCTGAAAGTTTCAGGAAAAAAGATTCTCTCACTTTTTGTCCTGATCCATTTATATAAAAACTAGGGCTGTCCAAACGATTACAATTTTTTTATCAGATTAATCACAGCTTAAAAATTAATTAATGTCCAAAATATGCCATTTCTTTATGTATATCCTTGTGGGAATGGAAAGATAAATGAAAGTAGGCGGATATATCCATTTAACTGTAGGCTATGTATGTATGTTTATAATAACATTGGTTATTAACATTCAAATGTGAATCTACCGTAATGCATAGGATATTCGCGCACCGCAATATCACGTGAGGGCTGGCTTGACTAGGTTTTTCCGAGGGGAGGCTGGCTTGACCGCAGTCACCTTTGAATACAATTTCACACTTAACTCAGTGGGCCCACACTCACTCAGCACACACACACACACACAAGCCGGCAAATAAAATGAAATAAAACCCCTCACGTTGCAGGCCTGATGTGATGCTTGAGAGCGTTGAAAGTCAAAACTATTTGTCTTCTTCACTCAAATGAGCAATAAAACCAGAGTGATTCCTTACATCTTAAACTCCAAACTGCAGCTGGCCAAAGCGGCCACTATGTATGCTCAATTAGCATTACTATTTCAGAGAGTAAAACATTCCGTTTGTGATTAATTTTTTTCTTCTGTTTTTGACAAGAATATGGAAGAATAGAGTGGCTCACTCACTCCGACTTGTTGAGCACGAGGCTCGTCCAGTAGGCCTCCAAAGGGGCCGTCACCACAGCGTCAAACAGAACCTCCTGGATCAGCTCCTTGTCACCTGACAACGCAAATTTGTTTGTTTGCATAAAACAAGCAGAACATATGAAAGCTATTTAATGATATGAGCAGAGAGTTGGTGGAAGAATTGAACTAACATTGTAGGTGGGGTTCATGTCCACTGAGGTAGAGTTTGATTGCCTCTATCTGGGACAGGTATCGGTGCTCCGGGTGCTCGTCTGTATTGCAGTATGTCCTGCAATTTAATAAGAACCGGCAATAAGGACATTTGGTATAATAACATGTAACAAAGTCATGATTTGCAGCAGCTATTTGAAAACGGTGCTTTAAGATGATTATCTGCCTAAGATTGTAATCACAACTCAAACTCCAACATATAGACAGGCGGCTTTTTGCATTGCACAACATCTATGATGAATTAAATGTGAAGTAAAACTAAAAAGGTTGACTCATTTACCAGAATTTGTTTGAATTTGTTTTACTTTACTTAGATGTTGGGTCCTAATTTTTGTGACCACAATTCATCAAGTGACACAACCATCAAGTCAAAGTCCTGCAGAGCTGTTATATAACTCTTGTAGTGCTGTGGGAATGTAATTTATTTTTATTTTATAAGCACGGAAAATAATAAGGATGAAGTCCAATAACAACGTGACTTGAATAAGAAATGAGGATGATACAGTCAGAAACATACGGCATCATTCGAATACTCTCACCATTCATCTGCCAGCGCTACATCAGGATGCTCCAAGTCATGAAGACCTAAAAAGAAAATGAGAACTTCATATCTCAAAAGCATAGCAAAACCACTCAATATAAAATCATAATAATAGGGCTAGGCACCTAGACCTTCGAAAGCACACACTTTTAATCACACACACCAGGGGTGAAAAATGTGTTTTTTGAATGGATGTGACAGTTCTGATTAGATCAGGAAGAGCCAAGTCATGCTCAGAGAGCTCCGCATGATGGACATGTTTGGAGAAACACACACACACACACACACACACACACACACACACACACACACACACACACACACGAATATTAACATTTATGAGGCTGGATAAATAATCAGGGGCAAAAACATTGCACTCTCAAAAGAGGGTCACACTTAGGAGTCATTAAATAAATGTTTAACTTCCTGTCCAATTGTGGAAAAGTTCATTATTAATTCATAATTTCTGAAAGAGTGTGTGAGCGTGTTACACAGAGAGAGAGACGCACAAAGAAAGAAAAGGAAGCAAAAAAGTTGCATAATGAGATACAGTATTCAGTGGTGGATGTGACTAAATAGAGTTTAGTTACTTTCTTTCTATTGTATGCTACTTTATACATATCAATTGTACACTTTACAAAATTTGAACATTTTAGATACAAATGAACAGCTCGCAAATGATTGTGCATTGTAATTTAGCTACCCAACATTATCTCAAAAACAAAAAAGCTTCTATATTAATCCACCAGTAATAACAATACTAGTATATAATATAAGACCTTAAGAAAGCCATTACTTTGGTAATGGTGGAGTTGCCCTATAGCCTACTTTACATTTCGTAAGAAGGCTCAGTGAAGGTATTTAACCCAAGCGTAAAAGTGAAGCATACTTCAGTGAAACTTCTTACTCCGTGATTTTTGTTTGAGACGTTTACCGGAAAAAACTCTTCTCATCAAATATAACAAAATTAAACAAATGAGGCACTAAAAGCTAATCAAAGAATAGAGTGCTCTCCAGATTCTATAGCTTTAATGACATTCACTAACAAGTGCAAAAAACTTGTTATACATATTTGTTCATCGGAAGCTCACTCATTATTACATCCTAATTCAACTTTAAGTGATGCAATTATAATCCACAGAAAATAAAATAAAATATAAATCGGAGTTCTTCCTCCCACGGCATAGATGACATTTTGTAAGTACACCATGCTTTTGTATTTTACCTCAAAACAATTATTAACGCCATGTTCACCTGTAATGAAACATAGTAATATTTAAATAATATTATATAGTGTCAAATTTGGTATTGGTACTCTTTTCTTTAAGTAAATCTGTACGATTTTTACTATCCTGCTGTATAGTAAATACATTTGAGTTGAGTGCAAATTAGTGACAAAATATATAAATAAATACAGATAGGGGAAGAGGGGGTTGAGCAAACAGACAGAAACAATACAGGAAACAAATGAGCAAAAGTGAGAAAATGCAGATTAAATAAAAGAAAGATTTCCCACCTTCCTCCACTGTGACATTCCCTCTGAAGAAAAACTTTCCATGGCCTCTGGATAGGGCTACCCCCAGACTAAAATAGAAATAAAAACGTTTTCTTAGATGACAGAAAGACAACTGTAAATACTGGCACCTCAGTCCTTCAGGAGCTTATTCACATGTCAAAAAATGTACCCTTTTCCTACCTGAAAGGAGTCCCTTTGATGTCTGTGTAATAGTAATCATTATGCAACACCAGCACACGTTTCTGAAATAAAAGAGAGGAATACACTTTATTACACGCTGCAGTAAACAGTGGGCAGTGTGATAGCGGTTATCTGATGTGATGTCCTGCTGTCTGGCTCCATCTAGTGGATTAAATGGTCCGGTTGTGACACTATCTGCTACTGTGCTGATGGTGTTTTTACACTGCGTGAATAGTTGGATAAGGATTGTGAATATGCATCTGTGTGTACATTTGAGAGAGTGTGTGTGAATGAATTAACATATTGAATGCTTAATAATCAGGCTAATGTATAATGCTCTCTACTAAGCTTAGAAAATGCAAAGTGTACACACACACACACACACACACACACACACACACACACACACACACACACACACACACACACACACACACACACACACACACACACACACACACACACACACACACACACACACACACACACACACACACACACACACACACACACACACACACACACACACACACACACAGGCATGCACACCCACACAGACACACAAACATGCACACGCACACACCAACACACACCTGAATGCGTCTCTCTCAGATAGGAAAGTAGTAAACGAGAATCATTGGGCTGCTGTCTCTCCAGTGCTCAGCAACATGTGCTTGGTGAAGATAAGGGGCTCAACTCACAGACAGACACACACCCGTGCATGCATAGCAAACAAAATCAGAAACAAATCCCCAAGTCAATCCTGCATATCACCGTGCCAAGTGTGACAACCCCTTGGCAGGGTGGATTCTCTCTGCTGGCACACCTTTTTGGACCATCAGAAAAGCGCTTGTTTGTGTGTTTTGGGTTGATATCTGAATTTTAGATTCCTCACCCCTTTGTCAACACTCTTCTTCACCTCCATGGAGAAGGTCCCTGTCTTCCTGTTGACCATGGCATTTCTCAGCTAGCAACACAAAGCACATACCCACTCTTAAACATCATATTTGCATTGAGTACTGCGATGAGGCTTAGAGTGGATTTACTCGAGGGTCTCACCGTGTCCTCCTTATCCTCCCATTCCACCTCGAACAGATCCACACTGCTGTAGTTTGGCTTTCGCTTTCGCTTCTTGCCATCTCCATACTGGACACACAGGCACACGGAAACACACAGTTAGAAATACTGAAGAAAAATGCGAAGCTAACAAATATTTTGCACCACACTAGTGCTGCATCCAATTGTTAAAAATGTTTTACTATAAATGAATCTATTTTTCTTTGTATGGCCTGGTTTGTTGGTCATTAAAATAACAATTTCCCAGAGCCAAAGGTAACATTCTCAAATTGTTCAATTTAAAATGGTATAAACCAGATAAAATCATAATTTAAAACGCTGAAATAATTGACAAATGATAATGAGCATGTATTTTCTATCAGGACAGGAGACAGTTGGCCTAGCTCCGTCCAAAGTAACAACAAATCCACATAATGGCAAATTAATAATTCAGTATTAACACACTATATTTAATTTGTTTAGTATGTATCTTTTGCAGCTAGCTTCCTACTTAATGGAAAAATGTGAGATTGATATCAATCACCTTTTTCTTAATAATCCAGAATTAGATCAAATGAATGTGATTGTCAATGAACTAACCTTTATACGGCCAGACGTGTTAAAGCATCAGAACATTTAACAGATGATTTTGAGGCCAGAGAATCTAATGTGTACTATATGTGTGTCTTTGTGTGAGTCCAGCTCTTCATTCATCTGTGGACAGCCTCCCACCCCCCATTAGTTGTTAAACACTGTTCATTAACATCTTTAATTAGACTGCAGTTAAACAATCTGTCTGTCCCTCTCACTGTCTCCTCTCCTCCTTGTCTGATGTCCCCTCATCCCTCTCTACCTCTCCTTTTTCATCCATGTGTTGCACCCTGCTTTGTCACCCTGCACCTACTCTCACATTAGGCAGGTCCCTTGCACTCCTCAATCCTCCCCCACCCTTATCCTCTTGTGATAGGAGTGAGTGAGTACAATAGAGTTAATCACAGCCATTCAGAAGCTGTATCTCTGTCTATGCACAGCACAGCGGAGGCCTGGAACACACTCTCCTCATCTACATACCGACACGCAGCCAACAGACACAGCGCGGCAAAGAGAGCAGCCGCACAACTACGCACTCATTTTCTCCGTCAATCGGCAACTCAGTGTGACAATGAAATCAGTAATTGACTTGACATGAACACAAGAGTTGGTATTCCTCAGTTGCATGTACAAAATAAATGATTACATTTAACTTCAATCTCTAGAAGGGATTGTTATGATAATAAGGTTCATACTCAGACAACTTGTTACAGAGCAACTGAATGGTGCTGGGGGGAATACTCACAAGTGGCCGTAGATCTGGGTGTGTGAGGATGTAGCCGTTGTTGGTGATTGCAAAGGCGTAGCCATGGATGCCAAGCTAGAAAGGATACACGCAAATTTGGGCGCACACACACACACCAAATGAATGCATGACAAATCTGTACTCAATTTCAAATATGGACTAATCAAGCTCTTTGATTTTTTTTACTGGCATAATAATCTTCGTCTTTGTGTGGGAACTCACAGAACTCCACAACACAAAGGAGGTGGTGTAATTAATCTACGTCTGGACAAATAATACACTTTCAAATGTCAAACTCTTACACCCAACCAAGCTTCAAATCTACAAGTGAAAGACATCATCAGGATGTGGCGGGGAGCAGTATCAGAATGTATTAGTATAAAGTGTATAATTTTCCTGTCATTATTGGACTTGAGGAAAGAGCCGTGAAAAATAATTTTCAAAAGTTCAACAAAGAAATTGTGATTTATCTATTTCTGAGTTTGCCATTCAATTACTGCACTCAATTACAATTGTCTGGGTTGGACTGGCATATTCACGTATAAGAAAAACGTTACAGTACATAGCTGTAGTTTTTAATTACTCAGCATCCTGGAAAATGGCCAATTCCTTCAGTTAAAAAACATTATAATAAAATGTGTGATCATCTTAAAGGGTTTCTGCTATAGCCATTAAGATCCTTTTTTTTTAGGAGTAACAAATTGACGTTGGGTGCACTACCTTGTATTTGGGGACGGTCTTGAGCAGCTCAGACACAGGCACGTCCGTCCCAACCACCCCCAGCAAGATGCCTCGGTTTCTCTGGAAACACAGACATTACAAATATTATAAGTTGCATTTTAAAGGTTAATTAAACAGCACAGACTCCTACAGATCCACTGTTTATGACCAATCTATATTGAATTAGTGATGCTCTATTGTTTCCTAATTTACAGACTCTAATCAAACTACAATTAGTGTCCATCAAAAATAAACATAATTAACCATTATTTCACAATTTGTGTCTATTGTTTAAAACCCTAATTCCTTGTCCATTATGCAATACGTAATTGCATAGTTTTTCAATTAAACTAAGCTGTTTTGTTGGAGCAAAAGAGTTGGAGAAACATAATGGCAGTCACAGTGAATGTGATTTTGGTTGTATAGCAGTAAATGTGCACTTACAGTCTCATTCTTGGTACTGAACACTGGCATTGCCACTGTGGTCATCAGAACCGGACCTTTACCGTCATCCATCTGAGTCATGAGGGCGGAAAGGTGAGAGACAGCCATTGAGAGGGGGAGGAAGGACAAAGAGAGACAGAAGGAAAGCTAATGATGAAACATTATAGTTACAAAAGAAATGGCATATTCACATTGTATGAATCATCTTTCCGTGTATGATTATCTCAAGCTGCATAACACTTGTTCTTTAAGTAGTTAACCTGATAGGACTTCTGCAGCAGTCATATTATCTTCTTGAGGGACCTACAAAACTTCCATGACATGTTTTATTCATGTTTATTATTTGCTTTAAAATGTGCTCAATCACAGCCTGCCTTTGATGTCTTTGCAGAATAAGCTTATCCAAAGGCAGTGCCTTTAGTTTGGATCTGGGTATCTTCCCTCCTTAAAGACTGCTGGAATAATTATGATATTTATCTTTCCAGCGGCTGTCTGTATCTGACGATGGTATCCATTAGAGATGAAAGCTTGACTCTCTTATGAAGATACTGGAGAAATGCTTCCCACTCTGCAAAAAATGGTCCGACCTTGTCCACTCAGAAATGTCAAAACTGTCTGAATGTCAGTCACTCACGCAGTTTATGTTCTAGTCACCATGAGTAATTGGTCCATTTGGTGCATTATGAATCCCAGAACACAGTGCACAATTGTGTCAAAAAAGATAAATCATGTTGCATGTGATCCATTTCTGCTACAGCTATAGTATTAATCTGTTAGACTTAGATATTAGATCCCACTATAACACTTTTTCTCAGAAAACTGCCCTATTAAACCAACCCTCTTAACTGAACATTACACGCTTTCTGATCACTCTCCTTCCTCAGGGGCTCACCCCCCATCTACCTCCAGTAATAATAGGTAATGACAGGAAACTGCTAGCATCCATTCTCTCTCCCTTGGACACTGAGGAAAAGGGAATTGGTGACCTGAGCTCAGACAGCTGGTAATAGCAATTCAGTACGCAGGATTGGACATCAAAGAGAGAGCAGAGCACAACTAAGTACAGCTGCGTTAACAATGGTCAGCCTTGCTGCTGGAGTACAGGATCGATCAAAGGACAGGGTAAATGAGAAGAGCCTCATCTAAAAATACAAAATCTATTTCCAAGCTCTAGTCTATTGGATCATATATCAGAAGTCTGCAAAGGTATGGATGAAAGTTATCACATTTTTACATTGTGTAATCTAGAATTGTTTTATATTTAGTACATGCTTTTGTTCAAAATCAGGGTTGCCGATGCCTGAACAGATGTGGCCAGTCCCCAGCAGACCTTATACATATGTTTAGGTCATGTCCGAAGTTGACAAACTGTTGGTCCTGAATATTTGATACATTATAAAAAGGCAGAGATAGATCCGAATCCCCTTTCTGCTATTTTTGGTATCTCACCTAACAAGGCGCTCTCGGTCGAGTCGCGCCATGTCATGGCTTTCAGCACCCTGCTAGCTAGGCGTTGAATTCTCCTAAATTGGAAGCACGCTTTGCCCCCATCTCATGTTCAGTGGATCGAGGAGGTTCTAAACAATGTGAAGTTGGAAAAACTGAGGTTCTCTTCTATATCAGGTTGTTTAAAGAACACGTTTTTATCTTTCATGGACACTCTGTACATTATGCCTAACAATACATTATGCCTAACAGATCAGATGATTGAGTCCATTCGGTTCATATTACTCTTATTGTAAGAATATCTTTGCTTACAGTTTTCCCTTATTATTATTATTATTAATGATTTAGATTTTTTTTCTTTTTTTTTGTGCGCTTAATCTTTTTTTTTCACCTGAGGTCGAGGCGGGGTGGGGATGTGGGGTGGGATGTTTAAAATAGAAAACTGAAAGTGAGCATTATGTTTCTGTCCCTTTCTTATTCTGCAATTGTATACGTTGTACTTGCTCAATAAAAAAAATATATATATAAGAAAGAAAAAATCAGAGTAGCCCAGCTGCTCTGGGAAATGGCATACTGTAATCAAGCAGATAACAAGAGTTGCATGGGGCAGACAGTAACTACATATGTTGGATTCAAAGCCAGCAGCACAGCTACAGAGGATCCTCACTTAGCCTACCCAGAGGAGGGGAGACCTTTAAACCTGTGCTTCATTATCCAAACCCAGGACAGGAAAAAGGCTCCTCCTTGAACCCTATGAGTGAGTGTTCTCCGAAACGACCGTGCCCCAAGTCCCTGAGGGAGTCCACTGTATCTGGAATTTGACATATCATACATAACCAGCAACCTCTAATACAAGGTCAAAACTCAAGACACATTTGGTCCAAATCTGCATCATCATTGCCTTCGCGGCTCCATCTGTTTCAGTCAGAGCAAATGATGTGTGTATGTCCTTTCCCCTGCTGTGGGTCAGAGTATGAAAAAGTATCTCTCTGATACACTCGCTCTCCACAGACACAAATTCCCACACATACCCTCACACTGACACTCCTCAGAGATACACACACCCTGTCCCATGTAAGCCGTTTCATAGGACACCTAGAATATAGGTTGCTGTGAGAAATTGTGTTCTGGTGAACGAGGTGACTCTTGTTTCTTTAGAGACTGGGGTTTAATGATGTTGTGTGTGTAAGCCCTGGAGCCAAAGCCCCCTGTAGGCTCCTGTGGGGAAAGCAACACATACCCAAAGGGGAGCAGAGCTGGCACGGATCTGCCACATCTATGAAAGCTTGTGTTTGCCTCAATCACTCTTGAGTGAGTATATATTCATCTTTCATGAAATGTGGACAGCCCACTACTTCAATTTGCCATCAAATGGTAATCAACTGTTGCAGCTTTACCAAGTATAAATCTTGTTCTTTGAATTTCAGGGAAAAAATCCCTCTTCTCATCCCAAAGTCCTTCTTTACATCCTTCGAGTTCTCTTCACAAGTTTTTTTGCAAATATTTGACATTCTTTTTCTCACCCTCCCTACACTTGTCCTCAAATATCTCCCCCCGACACATTCCGTCACCCCCACCTCCCTCCCATCATCCCTGAGCTCCAGTGTCAGTTCATCCGACAGAGTGGGAAACAAAGCCAAATGAGCCAGAGAATGATGGATGAAGCTAGTGAGACGAAGGAGAGGAGGGGGAGGAGGGAGGGGTACAGGACAGGAGGGGGAGCGCAGGTGGGGGGGGAAGAGCTGGGGATGGAGGCGCGAAGAGAAACAGACGGACAAAAAGGGGAGAGGCTAGAAAGAATATTGGTCTCGCCATGGAGAGGAGAGGAAAAAGATAGGATGAAGGAATGATGATACACATCAGCCCTGAAACATAGATAGCAGATGCTCATCACTTCCCCAACACTGAGCCAATCCCAGGAGTTCTGCTAACTCCTTATCAGGCACTATCACTATGCAGGGTGTGTGTGTGTCATTCTGTCACTGTGTGTTTGACTTTGTGTCGCACACCCAGGCCGGAGCTGTGCTGGGATGATTACATGCAAAGAACTTATTGCAGTGCAGACTCTTTGCTTATCCCAATTATCCTGTCTGACAATGTGATATCTATTTCCGTTTTCTGCTGAGTCGCCTCCATGTCAATAAGCATGGATCTATCACACTAACAGTTCTATGTCAGACATATGGCCTGCCAGCTGTCTGATGGGACTGCTCTGTGCTCAGCTCATGCCGACAGGGGGACAGAGCACCGTTTTGATTCACCATCATCTTTGTTATGATTATAGAGCTGCTTATCTCAACCCACATCATTCATAAAAAACGAAAAAATAAAACGCTGAACACGATAAAAAGGCGTCAGAATAGATCATCCCACCCAGTCATTACAGGCTATTGGATTTTGACCCACAAGATAACAAAACAGCTTATTCTGGAGAATTCTACCCAGATAAATAACACAGGCAATCTTGTTTTCACACCAAAACCACACAGGCACAAGAGCAGAAACGTGGCCTCACATTTACACGAATGGTCACAATGCCAGCCCCGGAGACACTGGCAAAGCACGGCTAACACAGCATCACCAATGATGAATGAGTGTGAGCGTGTGCTGCTCAGACATGTGCGTGTGCTTGATCAGACGTGCAGAAGAGAGCGATCAACTGAACCTTTGACAACCACGATGCATGGTTTGAATCAGGAGGTTGAGGAGCGACGTACGACACTGACACACAAGAAAATGCCATGGGTCAGTATGGTAGTTAGTTCACCCAAATTATGCCGTCATCTCAAAGAGATCGGAGACCAAAACGCACATGCACATGAAATGCCCATGAACACACACCAGGCCTCAACACAGCACAATACAGCGATGACCTCAAATCAGATTTGTTTTACCTTTTGAGCTTGGGGGAGCTAAAAAGAACAGATCAAGGAGGAGAGGGGAGGGGGGGGGGGGGGAAGAGGAAAGGGTTGTCAGTTTGTGGATAAGTGTTAAAAAGTGCAGGTTCCACTGAAAGGAGTGCCAGCATCTGTGGGTGTGTAGAATCCCCTGGCATTGACTGGAACTTTAAAAACTGTGACTGTGTCAGGAGGAGATTTGTATGGCTGGGAGGGTCACAGTAGAGGACACAACACTTAAGCTGTTAGTGTTGAGTCAGTGTGGGTGAATGCACTGACTGGGATACATAGATGGGGATAATGAGGGCAAAGAGAAGGAAATAAGCAGAGAAAGACAGGAAAAGGTAAAAGGAATATGAAGAGGGTCGCAGAGAAAACCAATCCATTTCCATGCAGTGTTGATAGCCTGTGCGTTTTTCTGCTAGAGGGCACTTGCCTTTGTCTCCTTACATTTTTGGAGCTCTCTCTCACAATCCATTTAGAAATAGTGGAGGACAAATGACTGCAATTCACTCTTTATAGCAAAGCACTAATAAAAGAATCATTGTGCAAGCATGAAAGGTACAGTGTGCGCAAATTATCTTATAGCACAAGATCCTATTGTGTAGGTAAGGCATTATTCTTTGGGCTCTTTTAGCAATTATAAAGGGAACTATAAGGCATGAAGAGGGCATTTAGCAATGCATGATTATATGAGTTAAGATATTATAGTGGAAATAAGCAACATGTGTTTAGTCAGCACATGAGTGAAATCACTGTATGTAACATACTCATGCTACACGACTCGCAAACACACACAGGAGGCTCATTGACTTAATAGTTCCATCTGCTGCTCACACACACTTTCACACATTCAGTCTGAGACGTACACAGGCAAAACACAGTGTCAGGCCTCCACTTTCAAAGTATCACTACAACCCTCCTTTGGATTATAAAATCATCCATCTTGATCATACCATTTTTTTGTAGTGCATTTTTTGAAAAGGTTGAAATCTGTGAATCAATCACAGATTTGTCTGTGCTCCCAACCCAGTGGGAGGGTGTGAGGTAACTGTCGGAACTGGTACCATGTGAGAGAGGGCATGATCAAAACTCACAGTGTTGTCGATGTAAGCCTCAGTCCACACCGTGTCGTGCTCCCGGTCGATCACCTTTGGACGACTCAGCACATGGAGATACTCCATCACATTCTCTTGCACATCTGCCAATGTTGAAATCTGAGTGAAGTAGCCTGTTGGGCACAAAGAGGAAGAGGAAGAGAGGAATGATGATGAAGTATTTAACTGAGATGCTTGCAAACAAGCGAGAGAGTACAGATTTAATCTTCTGACATTTTCCTGCGCTGGGATTATACGTACAGTCTCTTTGGTTCCAAAAAAGAGCAGCAAGTATCGCTTCCAATATCAGCTTAACTATATAATCTTTTTTCCAAGCTATCACTCCTATTGTATTCATCCTGATACCAAAGCCGAGGAACTACATCTGGATACAGTACAGTAGGCAGCAGATATTTGCCTGATGAAGCAGACACACACCTGGATGCAAGTATGTGTAACAGCTGAAGAACTCCCTCCAGTCATGAACGAGTGAAAGCGAACCAGCATGGGTTTGTGAGTTGGTAAGTGGTATGTAAATGTAATGGAAAAACTCAGTTAAACCAAATGCAATGCCATTCCCTACTGCTGGTAATGCCGCCATTATGATGCTAATGTGAATTTGTAGGAGGGAATATATGTTATCTTTGCAGGGGGGTAGATTTGAAGAGAGGGAAAAGAAGTGACACAAAAATAAGGGAAAAGAGAACGACAACCACATTTCCACACATCCATAAAAGCAGCAAACTGCCTCCATCACAGTGAGGCAGTCATGGAGAAAATCATAGCTGGAGGAGAGGGTCATCGTTCCCAGCTACGACCTTTACTCCACAGGGAGAAAAAAGTTTATACATCTTACACACACCCATGAAAGATACCATGTGTCACACCAAATTACTAAGGATTGTACCAATCACTGATAATCAAATACCACATAAAAAACTAACAAAATCTTGTTGTACCCACACACTGGACGCATTAAAAGCCACCTGATTACTGCAATGAGCATAGCAACCAGAATAAACCTGCTCTTGAACTTGACCTGGAAGTGAACCATGTCAGATTCCTCCTTTTCGTCCTTCAGAGACAATCGGATCCAGCTATTATTCCAGCAGACAGTAAAATGACAACACACAAGTACGGACTCACATCTCACACAAAGCAAGCTGCCTCAGTCTAACCACATCGTTCATCACAGTGGTGAGTGAAGAATGAGTGCTCCCTCTGGCAGGCTGAGGGCATCCTTCAGACTGGGCCATAGAGAGCAGCTGGGGGAGAAAAATGAATCCTGCTGGCTTTCAATGACATGTTACACCTACTCAGAGGACAGGACAGCCACTGCATGCGCTGGTCAGGCTTTTATGTATTTTGAAGGACCTTAGTTTGAATGTAATGTAAGCAAAAACTACACAACAAGGTCTCAAAATGCAAGAAAATAAATAATAGATGGGGTGGGGATAAAAGACAACATGATGTGGGACAACACAAATTTGTCTAAGTCTAAACTAAGTTTAGTTTAGTTTATTTATTTACAGTGTCGTGGACAGTCCCCATTGATGAACTGACACAAAATCAGTAAAAGGAGCAGCTTTAGCCGACATGGCTAATTTCCAGCTGTTGTCCCCGGCCAGATGGTAATAGACACCCTTAAAATCACAAAATATCAACAGCATTAGTTATGAAAAAATATAAAATAAAATAAAAAGGATGAAAGACAAGTAGATACAGGCGAAAGGATAAGAGAGGATAAAAGAGAACAATTAAAAACATTCACCTATATGTGACATTTATTTTCAAAACCATGGGCATTAAAGAGGAACTCTGCACTGATTGTATTTCCATACAATCACATAGATTTTTGTAGGCCTTAAACTTGGGTATATGTGTCTGCTTGGATTTAAAAGTTCTGTTAAAGCTGAAATCTGTGGAAGTATATTTTGTAATTTCAAGTATAAAAAGTAGGACACTGTGGCTTACCGTAGTCCCAGTTAGTAAGTGCCTCTCACACATGGCTGCTGGTTACATTAGCAAGCCTTCACAAGGGCTTATTATTTATCTTCTGTGCCAGTAAAGACAACATATGGGCTTGCTGATAACTGTGCCATATTCAGGGCTTAATAAGACACACAGGGCTGGTTCAAAGTGTGTTATGATTTGGTGCTTAACCATGCTACTTCCCAAAGAAAGACTATAAAGACGGCAGTGTTCATATATTTAAGTGTATGTTTAAAATGTGCCTGTTAGAAAATGAATTGATATACTGTACACAAAACATAAAAGAATAGTTTATCTTATGATCTCTATTAGTTTCACAGCCACAGGTTGTCAAATATCATTATTGATTGGTTGTCAGTCCCAAGAGGACAGATCTTTTGCACTATGATGGGAGACACAAGCAAGGTGATAATAGAGGAAGAAGAGCAGAGAGTGGGGTGTGGCTGAAGGTTAAACTCTTTTTTCAGAATGATAACCCTCCCCTTAAAGCCCCTGTCACACTGTCCCGAAATTGACACCCGATGAACACACGATTAAGGAAATGTTCAAATTCGGCTCTGATCGTAACAACATCGGGCCATTCGTGAGGGCATCTTAAGCCATCGTATGACCGCCCGTGGAGTTTCTCAGGCTCCGGCAGCAACTTTGTGAGCGGCAACTTCTCGTAAGGCACTCGTGAGGGCATGTTGTC